GAGAGAGAGAGAGAGAGAGAGAGAGAGAGAGAGAGAGAGAGAGAGAGAGAGAGTTTCTAGGCGAGGGTTCGAAATACCGAGGGAATGAGGCTGTCGGCCGTAGGGTTGGTGGACGATACAATGTTTCATAACAAGTGAGTCAACTAATTTTTTAGTGTATTATGCGTATAGCACATTACATATCTATAAATGTCGCAATACAATCATTCAATAAGTATATTCGTAAGCTACATTATGTAACCGAGCAAAGAGATAATCACAGACGACTGACTAGGGATAGTTACAAACAAGTTTTATGATGTACGAATTGTTTTCCCCTTCGACATTTTGACTGATGACTTCTACTAGATTTTGTTTTACATTCTGTTTATGTAACTTTCCATACGGCGAATTTATTGAATCAGCGAGAGAGGTGACTGCCGGGGTAACCTGTGTCGTCAGTGAAGGCGGTACCGGTAAGCTGGCGAGTTGCGAAGCGAGCACTCTCACAGCGCGTGATTGATAACGCCACTGCACGCACGAACGTACGAACGAGTGGGGAGCGTGGAGGCGGATATTATACCGGTCTGTATTCTGTTTGTTTGTTTATTTTTTTAACGCAAACCTTGGCAGTAACAACGATTCGTGTGTTGGGATAGCCAATTAAATACTTCTTTTCAGTGACCGTACATTTTTGACTCGGAAGGAAAGGTGAGGAAGCCGACAATATTTTATGTTTTGGTTGTGAACTCGTCGACTTCGAGGCTGAGAACAGGTGAGAGCACGGAGGAGCACAGCTAGAAACAGACATTGCGTGGCTCAGTACAACACTGTCTCAGTCTTGCATGAGAAAATGACCAACAGCGGTCGATCTGAGAATATTATTGTTTATACTGTACTCATCCCCGAGCCATTTTTTTTAGTTAGTCCGAGCCCCGAGCAAACAATACTTCTGTCTGAAATGCACCACCGTACTTGTGAAGGACCCCCACCTCCCTTTAGTCTTTCTTTTTTTACCCCCCCCCCCCCAAACACACCTCCACCCTCTTTTCTCTTGAATGTATACGCAAACTTGTTAAAAGCCTACAAGTAGATGCCTGTTAAATTGTGATGTACTCTCCTGGTAGAGAAAATTAAGATACATGATTATTATGGTAGTGGGGTCAGGTTGCCTTTATGTAGAATAAATATTGATTTATACCCCGGAAGTCTGCTGTGTGATGTAATTCCAGTTGACAGCTGGATAAACAGTGACTAGTGCTATTGGAATATAAGAAAATATTTTGGGTGAGATCATCTACTAGCACTGTTGATGAGGCAGAAAATTAAAGTTGAGTAGTCATATGATTATCATAGATTCTTATAATATTTTTGCTACCTTCTTCCTCTTGCAGATGTGATGGTTAAAGTTTATTTCAGATATTAAAATTCTTACTAACACTTATAAAGCTTTATATAGTGACAACTGTACTTTACTGGAGCTGACAATGAAGTGAACTCTACATAATATGTGGGCATATCCCTGATGCCTTCAATAACAACTTTCACTTTTTTGTGTTTAATACATTTGTTTCTCACATAAAGTCCTTCAAAAGCAAGATTTTTCGCTTTTGTGATCTATTAAAAAAGAATTTATTCTCTCTCCAGTTTTCAGAATGTCATTACGAGTGTTGCATTTTCAAAATGAAACCAATGCTTCCTGCCCAGACCTCTGCGGCCAGGGATACAAGGCAAGTTTTCACAATCACTCATCAGCAAAAGGACCCCGAAAGAAAATTTACCATGGCCACCTTGAGGGCAAGGGGCCAAGGAAAGGTGAACATGCTGCTGTGAAGGTGAGGCCGGGGTACATGTTACTTCGTTACTACAAATTCTGGCTTTCTTTTGAGATCTTAATTAACCACATATATCTATATATGAACTCTGGACCTATTTTAATTTGTTTCCCCATATATCCCCATCCCTGGACGATGCCAATGGGGTTATATTATCTCTAGGTGCACCGGCCTTACAGGGTTAAGGTTCATATACTTTCTTTATATTTTACTCTTTTTTCAATTTACTCTTCATAGGACTGCCCTCTTGGTTCAAAAGTTCTAAAATTGATCTTGTACTTTATATTACTGTTAGTATCAACATTAACTTGAAGTTGGGTTATGTTTCCATTCGTGAAAAGAAGTTTGAAAATCATTCGTCATGATGTTTCACGGGGGTTAAGCAATTTTAGTAGACATTTTGCGGCCTTTGAGTAAGCTTCATAATTTCGTCAGAATGCAATTTAACATATTGTGGCATACAACTTGAGTTTAAGCTTGCTGATTTTATCTGAATGCAATATACACATATCGCTCTGCATACTCCATCATAAACTTAAGTTTTACTTGTGCTGATTTGTTGGTGGGAACTGTTATGAAATTAATTTTTCGCCAACAGTTTATTTTTCCAAGATAATCTGTAACTGTAATATATCAAACTGGATTCAATAAAATATGGTTTCTATTTTTTGCAGGTGTTCCGAGATGCAGCTGGCACAGAGTCAAAGTGTGATGCAGAAATCAGCAAGCACAAAATGGCGCGTAAAATCGCAAAAAGATTTAACAAGTTTGTGCCAGATGATCACTACCAGATCAAGTTCACATTACCCCTCAAGTCCACGGTGGACCATCTAGGCGTCGGCTTCTACTTGACCCCTCACAAATCTCGACACGTGGATAAGAAAGAGTGGGTCTTGATTGAAGAGAATCTACTCAAACAGGTCAGCAGTTTATGAAACAAATAGTATTGTCGAAATTGTTTGGGATGGCCACTAATTGTTGTGGAGGAGGAAAGTTGTTGTCTTAGATAGGGTGTTTGTATTTTCAAGTGTCATTATAATGTAAATTATACGCAATGGTGGAAATGGAAAGTGGCTGTTGGGCAAGTAATTGTCTCATACAGGTGACCGTTAGAGCAGGTTCGGCTCTATTTAATAATTACACTTTTCTGTCTGTCTGTCTGTCTCAAATAAATTATATATATATATATATATATATATATATATATATATATATATATATATATATATATATATATATATATATATATTATAAACTAAGTTGGAACACTTTAGACTCTTCAAACTGCTGTAGTTTTTTAATGTAAAAAGTTTTGCTCTTCATGTTGTATGCACAGTTTGTGAGTTTGACTCCCACATGGGGAAGATATGCTATCTCTAAATCTTTCTCCTGTTGGGATGAATTCATTGCAGCACTTGGAAGCCCTGAGAAGTAGCTTGCCTTCTGACTGATGTAAACTGTTGTGAAGGGGGTGTAATGATAAAGACACCAAATTACCATAGAGACTCTCCAATGCTTTTTTGATGTTGTACTGTGTAGGTTCAGTTGGTGTTATGCTTGAATGAGCTTAAAAATGCTGATGGTCTATGTTTGGATTCCCGTCAAGGGCTTTCTTGGACCTGGTTCAATGGATAATTTCTTTTTGGTTTTCGACTCCTTGTAAATCTCACGCTTTAATTTTTGGGATATAAACAGACATCAGGAGGCCCATTTAATTTTTATGCTGAAATAGTTTTTAAAATCATTGCAAGTTGATGCATTGCTTGGGCGTTCCACCTTCAATCATATGCCACCCGGTACTGTGTTTTCTCTTAGAGTGTGTTCTCGGAATCAATACTACAGTATAATCCATTTATAGCGACATCCGATTTATTTGCATTTTGACATTTTGACATATTTTCCAATTACGAAATTTTTCTTTCAATATCTTCACTAAAAAATTTCTCTTATATCGACTTTTTTTTTGCCCACTCTGCTTTATCGACATGCTTCCTGGGTACCCGGCTAAGCTCAGGAACATAAATGGGGAAAAAAGCCGCGCTTACGGTCAACGCGTTAGTTCTTCCTTAAGTCCATATACCATCCAAGTAGTCTATATGACACACCAGGCTTTAGTAGGTCATATATATAGGGTCTACACTGTACAGTGCCTCACTGACGTGATTGTCTCACGTGCTGGGTATCACCTTCCTACAACCACGCCCCATCGCCTACTCTCCTTCCCCTTCCAATTCTCAGTCTGTCGCTGGCAGGTGCCACGGTCAGCGAGTCAGTGTCTTGCCTTTCCATTTTCCCCAGCAAGCGGCCATAAACAGGCTTTCCAAAGATCAGATGCTGCAACAAAGTTAGCGCTGGTGTGTAGTGTATGCCTCGCGCCTCGCGTTACTCGGTCATTTGGTACCGTAACTCCAACACCCCCCTTCTGCCCCTTGTTGGTTTCAAGAATCAAGGGAAGCAACCAGCTTAAAAAAGTAGTGTTGTATTTTACAGCTGACCTCCCCTTGTTTTTTTTCTTTGGCTTTAAACAGTCGAACCCGCTATGACGGCCTCCTGTTATAATATGGCCACCTGTACAATACGGCCACCTGTACAAACGGCCACTTTCCATTTATCCCCTTGTGTTTTTTTCTATACAATTTAACTGTGTAAAACGGTGACCTGTCCAACGCGGCCATGTCCACCTTATTTTTGTCAACCCACTGCCAGATTTACCTGCCTCAGGTGGCCAGGTGTTGTCACTTATTGCCCGACGCTTTGTCAAATTTTGAATCGGCTCCTCACGTTGTGGACAGGTCATCATAGTCCATTCACCTGTCGTTATTAATAGTCCCTCGAATTAATGTTTTTATCCAAGTTGATCAACGGATAGGCCTAACAACACATTTTCAAATGTGATCCATCATAACCTATAAGCCCCACCAACAACCCGTTCACAAATCGTGTATGAGTGACTGGTCACTGTTTTGTTTAACTAATCTGAAACAAAGTAACAATGGACGTTGATGTGAAATTGAGACAGAAGTGTCCCCTGTTCTCCGAGTGGTGGCGACCGGTTTGTTTGTTTTAACATGGCACTCGGTCTTCATTGTCTTACTTACTTAATACTTCTTTTATTTTACCCTTGTACAAAATCAGTTACCAAAAGAAGGCTAACCAAAAAAAAACAAACCAACAAAACAGCTACAAAAAAAACACCCTTCTTACACCACCCACCCCTCTTTTTTTGAGAAAACAAAAACCCTTTTGAATTTGCCTTACGGCAGTCTAAAGCCTGAGTTCAGCCTTGGTTTGGACCTCGGAAGAGAATGGTTTGCTTTCTTCATTTTAATCAGTCCTACCTAAGACGTCCTATTGTGTTTACATGGCCACTTTTTTCCATGACAATCTGTGGTCGTTATACACAGGTTTGACTGTATTTTCATTTATCGACATTTTTATATATCAAGATCAAATCCACTTCCCAAAGCATGTCGATATAAGTGGATTATACTGTATATTACACATCTTTTGTTGGCTCTCATTTTGTTTTCTATTTCTTTATTTGCCAGGGAGAATTCCAAGTTTTCATCAGAAAGACAGGGGAACGGCTGGGCAAAGACCCCACGTCTCTGGATGCTTTTCTTCACTACTCTTATCACGAGAGTCAAGGCCATCATGTCATGTGTGGTCTTCAGGTGAGACTGCATGCTTAAGGTGAGGCTGCATGCTTCAGGTGAGACTGCATGCTTCACGTAAATCTGCTTGCTTCGGGTAAAACTGCATGCTTCAGGTGAGGCTGCATGGTCCAGGTGAGACTGCTTGCTTCAAGAGAGCCTCATTTCCAGTAGTCTCTGGAACTACATTTTCTTGCCAGTTCATCTTGTCTGTATCGATGCAGAAATAAGAAAGGCAAACATAAATAACATGGCTTTAAAGTAGAGGATGAACACTCAAAAAATCTCAGATATGCTGATGATTAAAAACTTATGGCAAAGGATATTGCAAGTATGAGAAGAATTTTCTTCAGAGTAAATGCACAGGACAGATCAGTTGGCTGTTAAATGCTACAAAGACCAAAGTAAAGCACATTTATGATAAAGACCCATCTCAAAATATCAAGATCAATCTAACAGATTTGGAATATGTACGTGATGAAAAAACAACAACTGTACAACTTTTTTTCTCAATATCCTGTACAAAATTTGTACTAGAATACTGTAATTTGGAACAGGTATAATTCATTCTAAAGGAATTTGTTTGACATAAAATTCACAAGGAATAAACTTATTTTCGAAAATGGAATGGCTTTCATAAAAACCACCTATAAATTCAAAATGTACAAATTTAAACGGTCTGGTAAAGAAAGTCATGAAATGATTGGTTTGGTTTTTTCCTTTCCTTTTATTAAAAAAATCTAATCTTTCCATCACTGTAACCTTTAAACAATATTTCTTTTCTCCTAATAGAGTTGAAAAATATTTTTTTAAATTCTGGAATTCCGAAAACCAATGGTCTATATATGTCCTCCTTTGGACTCGACACATTTGAACGTGTTGTTCGTAATGTTCAGTGGTGGCCAAACACAAGGATCCACTTAACCATAAGTACTCAAAGCCACACACACTGTACATCTTACAATATATGAAGCTGTTTCTTGAGAAAATAGGGGGGGATGAGGTTGCTCTAGTAGACAGCATATGTAGAGTTGATATAACCTGAAAGGTGAATGTGGGCTTAGCTAAGGAACCAAATGTCCTAGAGGAAATGTTCACACTTTTCAAACAACAGAGGAATCATGAGCACATTGCTATCCTTTGATAATTTCGTGAACGGGAAAATAGTACAGCCGTAGATGAAGATATGCCTTGAGATGCAGACTGTTGAGATGAAGGAAAGTCATTGCTGCAGGCATTGTCTATGAACAGATATCTCATGGGGCTCATCTACTAAATTCTGAACCTTGGTGACGTTTAAAGGGTGTGTGTTTGACCTAAAGTGGTCGTTTTGTTTAGGAATTTTTGGTTCTGATTCTCTACAGGTCCTAACTGATGGACCATTTCCACCCTTGACATTAAAGAAGTCCTTAAGGGCACTTCAACATTATTTCCGTACCTTGTGCGAAACTTACAAAATGAGTTAGTGGTGAGGAAATGTTCAATACAAAAAGCTCTCTGCTCTTTACTGATCTTAACCATGATCTCAGCAGGCAAAGGAAATTTGAGAAAAACTATCTGCATGTCTGCAAACTTCTGTTGGCCTGTTAGACTGCTGCAGTTTGCAATATGGCACAATCTTTGGGATTTTTAGTGGTAGGCCTCATGCAAACTTGTGCCTCATGCTACAAAAATGGGAACATAGTTAAAAATGGTATTTTTTTACGCCCTGTGTAGAGCAAAACTATTTAGGGGATTTATCGAAAATGAATATCAGACAAATTCCTTTTGACTTCCAAATGTTGTGTACAAATTTGAAAAGCAAAACTTCTGTGTGGAGGAAAATATTTTTAAAAAAAGTTGTTCAGTTTTTTTTGGATCACCCCGTACAGTGGGCCTACTTATAATATCGTCATTGAACTAGCAAAATGGCGAAACTCGAGAGTTGTGCCAAAATGCTACTACCCTTTTTAAAAATTTGATGGTAAATGCACTATATATCTATTTTTTTGGGTAAAAATCAAAACAAAAATGCGCTGACAGTCTCAAAAGAAATATACATGGCAAGTTTTACCATTTTTAGATGATATATATAGTCTAGTTAACAGTTATTTTCCTTTTATCACAAAAGTACCAAAAATGTGATGTGCCATATTTTGCTAGCGCAGTGATAATACTTTGTTTTCTTTTGGTTTACTGCCGTTTTCATATTAACCGTGTTTGGTTTTGTGGACTTCACTGTATTTAATTAATTTTGCTTTTCTCTTTTTTTTCCATTTACAGGGTGTGCAAACAGAAAAAGGTTACCTGCTTACTACTCCATGTATTCATTCTGTCGATTCAAGTTTTGGATCTGCAACAGACAAAGGGCCTAAAGGTATTGTTGAGGCATTCAAATTTCATAAATGCAACAACTTGTGCTACTGTTTCCTGCGGCCTGACACCGCAGAACTGGAGACTCTTGGGGTTAAAAGCTCAGTGAGCACTGATGAGGAACGACGGACAGAGGAGGGAGAGACAGATGAGGATGCTGAAGATGATGGCTTGATTCAATTCTCTTACAATACTTCCATGGACGCTGTTGAGGAGAAAAAGGATTCAGTGCCAGAGGAGGACTCTCTATCAGAAGGAAACAAGAAGAGAGAGGATAACGCTGAAATGATAGAGCGAGAAGGACCTCAGGTTGGATGAAGGCAGCTGAAATAAGATTGATTTTAAATTTGTAAGTGGTTTAAAGAAGAAAGAGAATTTTACAGAAGTGCTTTTTGTCATCTTAATATGTTGATTGCAATACTTTGCAACATTTTATCACATTTTTTATAAAAGCTTAAAATTGGAGATCTGGTATTTTGTATTGATGAAATCAAATATATTAATATAATACAGTAGTCTACGCCTAAGATCCCACTGCTTAATTTCTGCTGTTTTAAGAAAACATAATTTTTTTCTACTCAAAAGTCACCCCTAAGATCCTGCGCTGAAGGTCCACATCGGCTAATATCCCTAATTTTAGATCACAATTTAATTAACAAAACCCCAGGTGGGCACAGCTGATCAACCAAAAGTGAAAATTTGCGATCACTGAACTGCCTGTTCCATCACAGATGTGCCACTCTTGTGAATGTAATCACATCTTCGTTGTGAATCTTGATGAAACGATACAATGTTTGCCCCAGATGGGATCACATCTTGGTGTGAACTCGGCGGTGCTGTTATTTTCCCCAAACATCGCATCTAAGCTCTCAACCTAAACTTACATCACATGCTGGGTGGATAGGGCTTACAAGTTAACTCCACGTGGGATCGCATGAAGCTGTGAACTCTTTTCTGACCACTGCCTAGTTGTCTCTACTGCCGAATTTGCGAGACAGACTGAATTTTAATTGGTGTCGTCAAAACACAATGGTGAGTAATGACAAAGGCGGGGGAACTTTGTCAGAGATGGAAAGCTATAAATTTTGGACAGGTATAGGGGAGGAACAATTGGATAAGTGTAGATCTTGAGACTCACAATGGGATAATGAGTGAATAGGGCATGCCTCATGCCACTGAGATTGGTCATCAAGGTTGACCATTCTTTACTCCCCGGAAGTCATAAACCCACCCAGGGATCACGTCGGTTTGTTTTAAAGTAAATGGAGACCATTTTACCGGTTTTGGGCCTGAACATAGGTCACCATAGATTCTTCCCTTGGTGCGTTGGCTAAGATCCTGTTCGCCTAAGATCCCGCATTTTCCTTGCTCTCGAGCACCAGGATCTTAGGCGTAGACAACTGTATCTAAATAAAAATTCAGGTTTTGCTTGTGACAAATGTTGAAAAAGGGATCACAAATTATGTTTTCTGTCATTTATAATTCATTTTTTATGCAATACGAAACAAGTGATGAAAGCTATCAAAATAATTGTGATATGTGGCAACCACTCACCAATGCTCTATTTATTTCTGTTGAGGATGATTTTTGATTAGAAGGGTGGGAGTGTTGGTTTTGAATAATTATAGCCTTTCATAATCGTCTTCTTCTTCTTGTTCATCTTTAAATGGATGTCCCAGTCTCTAGTGCAAAGGCTGCTATTCGCCGCAGGTCCTCCAGGCCCCTGTAAAGTTTTGGGTCTCTCTGCGCTAGGGCTGTGCCAATATTTCTTTCTAAGCACCTTGAGCATTGGGCAGGCTTGCACAGCAAATGGTTCCCTGTTTGAACACCAATTCCGCTCTGACACTACTCTGAATTTCCGATCTTGAACTTCAAGCCTTTCAAAGTCAAGAGTTTTAACATGTAGCCTGTGTGCTGTCTGCTGTCAATTAGAACATGGTACATGAAAGTCAAACAAAACTTATCAAGTTGATCTTGTTTTGGAGTAGCCTAATCAACTTCCTTACTGGATTTCACAAGAAGAGCTAGTGAGTAAGGGTCAATACAACCATCATGTCAATGGGAGGATAATGTATGGTAGACTTTTCTCAACCAGCATTTCTTTATCTCCTCAAAAAAATTATGCCTGCTGCTTGTTATTTTTGTGTCCATGCCACACTAGCTTTTTCTTCTATCAATTGCAGAAGCACAGCTTTATTTTGCACTCAGCACACTCAAATCTTTTAATAGCTAAAATGATATTAAAATCCTTTTCGTCAGATATATCTGTTGTTGGTCCCATAGAGTTTACATTGTATTTAATATTTTGGATAAAAGTAGGTATAGATATAATATACATAACAGCAAAAGCTGGTCTGTTATAACAGACTAAGTTGATTGTTCTTTTTCAATTCCTCTGACACAATTGTACTTATTTTAGTTATAATCACTTTTTCTTTACCATTTCCTTTGAATCTGTGTTTTCGTTACCTTTCTTTGTGCTGTTCTGGGGCAGTAATAATACTGTTTAAGCTGTTAACTTTTGTTTTATGGAGACCTTAGCATAAAGATCTCAGTTGTTGATCAATTCCTTTTTTGATATATAAAATCTTTAAATAGTACTTTTGTGATATCATATTTACTTTGTTTATTTTCACTACTTGAACTACTTGCTTTTTATTCAAAGTATTACTTTTATTTTCCAAATTTTCTCCTTTAATATTATTAAAGAACTTTATGTGATCATTTTTTACACTAGATTTATCTTCAACTTTTGATTGTAAACAATGTACGTAGGTCCCCATCTGTAAGTCAGCGAGTATTTTTTCTCTATTGCCTGTTATAGTTGTCTATATTTTTTTCTCCCTTTTTATTTCTCTGAATCACATCATAATCAAGAAAACAAGAAAAAAAAAAAGAAGGAAAATTTGAAACGAAATATCTGAAATTATCTGCAGAGAATGCTTTTCAGCACAGCGCTTATTAAAAAAAAAAAAGAAGAGATCTTGTAAAAATCTATGCTTGGTTTAACCGGTACACAGGTGGCGCGTAAAACTGCTTGTGTGCCTAGATACCAGTACACCGGTGTGCGGGACTCCTTCCCCTACCCATCCCACCTGAGTCAGAACGCCTACGGAAAACAGTGTTTACTACACAAGACATTATTGATTATTTTGAAGGTCTTTCTGAATTAGATGCTGGTAATGACAAGGACTACCCTGAGTGGGATATGGAATGTGATTCTGACAATAATATGACGTTAGTAGGCCTAATATATTCACTCAGGAGATAAGGCAGAAGGTCACGGAAGCCAAGGAGCTCAAAGAGTTAATCAAAGATGGACTTAATATGGAACTTATGGTGTGGATAAGGGCAATAAGCCCATTTCAATGGATGTTCTGGCAAGGAAAAAGGCTGTAAGGTTTTCGCTCGCTATATTGCACTTCTTACCCATTTTTGAACAATTTGTCTACCCTGCATTAATTTAATAATAAATATTATTATAGTCGTTGTATAGGAAAGCGATATCTCAGGCCCTTGTGAAAGTGATGGAGATTACACATTAACATTTTACAGCTGCTTTTTATTCCATCTATTAGGCCTATATTAGGCTAACTTTGTAAAGACTGCCATTTATTTGATGCACAGCACCTGGTTGGACGTTTTTTTGCACATTAAATTGTCTGTCTTTTGCTGTGCATTTATCAACCTTCATTCTTTATCCCAAAACTGTTGCACAATAGAAAGAGATTGTTATTTGACTTTTCAATGACATAGGAGAGAATTGTACTTGACCAGCAAGTGAATGCTCTTTGCAGTGCACAAAAAGTCACCTCCCCTGATTTAGTAATCGAGACATAAACTTTTCCCATTCAGTTGCTTAATTTTTCTAAGTAGTCCTGGTGTGCTTGTACTACATAGCTTTTATTTGTTATTTAAAATCAAATTTAAAAAAAAAAAAAAAAATTTTTTATATTTTTGTACTCTGACAAAGATTTTGGTTAAGAAAATCTTTTCTTTGTGATGAATATAATATTCGTTGGTTGAAGTCTTTTGCGAGAGAGTGCCATGTGGATAATGTGATTTTAGGAATAGATCTATACCTGAAGGTTCCTCAGCTTTGTGAGAACTGAGAAACTGTGTGTTTTATATTGGTGTTGATCTCGCAGTTATTGCTGCATGCTTAATTAAGTGCAACTATGGCAAGGATGAATCTTTTGTCTCCCCCCCCCAACATTTGAATATAAACTACTTGATGTACTATATTTGTAGATATTTTATCTTTACATATTGTCCTCCAAGGAGAAATAAAATGTATAAATTTGTTCTGTTTAAATACAGGTATTTCATCTTTTAGGGGTTGAGGAATGAAAGCAGTCATGATTTTTCAATAATACTGTCAGAAAAATAAGGTTTTTTAAAAATATTAAAATTCAATATATTTTGTCCTGTGATTTTTTAATAAAGGCCACTGTCACAGGATTGACAAATCTTAAGGTAGGCCTACGTTTAATTTTTATAGTAGGCCTATAGGCCTACAAATCTCACTCAAGATATTTTCAGATTGTTAAACTTTCTGTCAGTAGAGGTGTGGTCACAAGATTTCAGAGTATGAGTTGCTTTTGTTTTTCTGATATATTTACTCTATTCTTATTTCTCTGCTTTGTGTCGATTGAGACTTAGAAAAACACTTACATTATTTCTTTGATGGCCAAAGTTTTTGTTTTGTTTAAAACCTTGACATGAGGTAACTCAAGATATTTCTGCTACTTTTTTCTGTTTCTATCTTTTTGGTATAAATGGCTGATCATTATATTACAACAATAAAGACCAGTTATTTCACTATAATTAATACATTTTGCCCATTTCAAAAAACAAAACAAACAAACAAACTTTTTGTCAGTTTTATTTAGATCATGAATCACAATTTCACAGCTGACAAAAAAGTGTCGGCTAAATATGAAGGTGTGTATTTTGTGGTTTTTTTTCTATGGAAGTTGCAGCATGCTTGGTTTTGGTACTGTTAGAGCCAGTTTGTCTGCTCAGACAAAATATGATGGCTAATAATATGGAGTAATGGGTTCTTCAGATAGGACTAGAAATGTGTGCACTTTGTCTTGTATGTGTTGGTGTATAACTTTTGAACATTTTTGTTACTATGTTGTAGTTAGTGGACCAGTATAGTACTCTGTTATTTATTATTGGTGTCTTGCCATTGTATACTCTATTTACAAATGTTATGTTGATATCAAATATATTGTCTTTCAGGTTCACTGGAATCTCTTATTCATTCACCTGCTTTAAAAGAATATGCTGTTGATTTGGAGCTGACATGTATGTGTGTGGGCGTTGGATTTTTGTATGTTTGTAACTATTTTTAATGAGTCGATTTGTTACCAAAAGTTTAGCACAGCTATGGAATGCCACTTTTTCACATCATAAAATAAATAGATAGTTTATTTAAAATCATCATTGTTTAACTATGAAATTAATGCTTTATACTATTCAATTGAAAATTGGACAAGGTTAACAAATGTGTAAAATAAATGTAGACTATTGAAAAGTGCAGTGTTTATTCTGTTGATTTTTGTTGTGGAGATCTTTTACAAGGCTTGGTCATGAGTACCAAAACTATTTGATTCTCAGATCCATAAGATGCGCCTACTCAAATTAATTTTAAAAAAGTTGCTAGTACCTACTATAGTGCGGTCGAAAATTTGTGGCATAACTATGTATCTTTTTAATGGGTGAATCAATGTCACCCATACTTTGCACAGCAGTTTGTATCGAATTGTCTTAACTTAATAATTTTTTTCCACAACAGTTGAGGCTGGATTAAAAAAACTTTTCTTCATAACTTTACTTAGAATACTACAAATATCCTTCATACAAAAAATGGAATTGTTCACAACACTTCCCGCTCCTCACACACATTTTGTACATTCATATGGCTTACGTCACAGCTCACCAATGACATTTTTAGTGGCAAAACAAGTTGCAAGAAATTAATTTTTATAGTAAATACTTTTTTGCACTAAAAGTTCTCAAACATGCGTTCAGTAAAGATAATCTCGCGATTGGGAAAAAAATGACGGACTTACTTTTAAAAGCGATATTGTCCCAGCTGTAAACCTTTTAAAATCAGTAGAAACCACCTACTAGAATTGTTTATTAGTATTTATTCAGGAATTTTCTAGAATAGAGAGGTCTTTACAAAAATATTGATCTGTTAAGACAAATTGATACAAGTCACTGTGCAAAAGCTGGAGAGTTTATGTTAGATAGTTGAGGAGCTATTTGACAATAAGTAGCGCCTCAAATTTTTGACTGCACTATAAATAAAAGTTCAGTTGCAATTATGTTATGCTTTCATTCTGGTTTATCCTATCTAGTTCTTACCAGGATCACTCTCCCATCATCTGCTTTATCGTTGCTACCACCGTCTGCCCATATAAAGTATTGCATTTTTCTACATTTTATTTTACTCAGCAGGATTTATCTTGTGGTGAGAATCTGACACACCTCGTCCTATAATTTGCTCTCCAGTTCATTCTGGCTCTCTCTTAGCACTCTCCTAGCATCCGCTTTCTCCTAACTATAGAGAGTAGCTCTTAGCACTCTTCCACCATTAGGTTTATCTCACATAGCTCTCTCACTTTCTGGTTTAGGAGAGGCAACGTTATAAATTTTAAAAAAATCCCGCCGGTTTATTTCTACGTCCAAGTGTTTGGGAAAGCAAACGGAAACAAGACAAAATACAATGGCTACATGCAAATTTTATAACATAACGAGATAACTTTGGAGTTGGATTGTTTTTCTTTCTTTTATTCATAAATACTTTCGAAAATTGCGGGTAATAGACCTATTAAAGTGAGTACATTTTGTATAAATTGCAGTAGAAAAAAACGTACATAAAAATAAAATGTGTGAGGAAAGCCAGTCGTGCAACTGGCAAGACAGGGTATTTTACTGTTTATTGAGAAAAGTCAGAGGGAGGCATAAAGGCAATTATTGTTTCTGGTTCATTTGTTTTAGTCTATCCTGATACACTCAAATTTTGGGCTACAGCGTAGATGAACCTGGTTCGAATCTCTGCCAGAGTGTTCTTGAACTGGGAAAGTAAGGTAAATTATCAAGGATATTCTCCCGCTTGGCAAGGTAGTATCTGAGACGGATAATATGTGGGAGGTATATTACCTCTTTAATAACCCATAGGCTTAATGTTGATAGGGGCTGTGAAACTACTACATGGCAGTATTAGCATGTGAGATATCTGCCCTAATACTCGATGAATTACGAGAGCCCCCTTCTAAAAGTTCTGAGAAGAGAGAAAATCGTTTAGAAAACGAGTCGAAAATAGAAACTTTTTCAGGAGCTACCGCATTTCGATTTAAGTAAATTGAGTGAATAGCGAGTGCACTTCATCCAGAAAGACACAGGTGGTTAGAGGCCCTCGTTGGAAAGTCTCCCTTCTTTTCTTTCGCTCTGTTACTACTTTTTTCACTGTTTGCTTATCATTTAAGTTTAAAAATGAAACGTCGCCCCGGTCCCAGTTTCAGGAGACGCATATGGTTAAAGGCTTACTGTCGCACAAAATCTTGCGAACTCGATCGGGTCGTGGAAGGATGACTTTAATGTCCAGGCCTTGTTCGAAAACACTCTCAAACCATAGGATTAATTATGCATCTCCACCACAAGCTGATCAGAGCACACGAACATTTACGATCAGATTCTTCATGTCCATGTATTTCCTTTATGTTTTAGCAAACTGCTTGGAGTTCGCAATGATAGTTTTGAGTGCAGCACAGCAATGGACTTTATGCGCCCCCCCCCCTCCCCTTCTTATCCCAGAAAAGAGGCGTAAAATAAAATAGGTAGGCCATGCGTCGTAATTTACTCTGACAGGCTCTAGTAGCATATTTAATCCCCCCCCCCCCCAATAAAAAAGAAAGAAAACAAAAACAAGCAAATGGAAACGAAACCCAAACAAAAAATAAAGCAAAATAGATCACGAAATAAAAACAAACAAACAAACAAACAAACAAACAAACAAACAAACAAACCCTAAAACAAAACAAGGGGAATGACATTACATCACAAACTTGTTTTGCTCACAAAATACAAACAGGTCTGACAAAAGCTAAGCCTTAGGAGGAGCAGAGAGTGTATTGCGTAGCAGGCTTCTCACATGTGGCCTCCATGTAGTGTCTTTTCTCTCTTGACTTAAAAACAAACTATTATATACACGTTGAATGTTATAGTAAAAGACATAACATACCATAACATAAACTTCATCATATAAACCTATTGAGGTAAAATTAGGAACCAATGTTTCAGTGAGTTAAAAAGCATAAACTTGTACATCATCCATCAGTTGAGCATATTATTATGTTATAGTATAGTATTATTATACATTTATTCAGTAGCAACTACTCAGTCCAAGGGAAGGTCACATCTGGCCCAAGTGTTGATAGTCATAAATTATATGTCGTGGGCCAGCTGTTAAAATATACCAAGCCCCAGCCTGGATTGTTTGGGGAGTTTTCAAGGTAAGCCATAAATTCTTGGCTGGGTCTCACCGAAGAAGAAAGTTAAATTGCGATGTTCTTAATTAATCTGTGGTATCGGTTACGTGCGCTGAAAAATATTTTGTTGACATTCAAAATCTGAATGTTGAAAAAAGCAAGAAAAAACAAAAACAAAAAAACAAACAAACAAAAAACAACATGATATTGTAAGTACAATTGTTACAAAAATTAAACTGTTGTTTCCTTCTCTGGTCAAATTTTGTTTTCTAGGCTTAATACATTTAAACAGCGATGTCAATGACGGGTTTAATAAATCTATGACAGATTCATCAAAGATGATAATAGTCATTCATATTATAGTATTTATAGTGAGAGCGCTGTCAAGCCTGTAGTTCTCCCCCCTTTGATTCGTCGTCTGAGATTTCGTCTGGAACAGACATTTGTAGTTGTTGATGTCGGAGGAAGAGTTGCGGTATGGTGACGTAGGTGCCAGACTGGAAGAGAAAAACAAAACAGAGGAGGGGGTCGGGGGTTTGAAACATTAAAAGTAGGAAAAGGTAAATGTGTCGATGTTTCAATAGCTTACTTGCCATAATTATTGTAGACCACTTCGAAGGCCGGACACTTGGTCCATCGTCATGAGGCATGTTCAATCGATATTGTCTGAGACGGCCACACATTGACGAAGAGAAAATGGTTGTCTAAGGCAGTTGGATGTCTTACAAAAAGTCACTATAATGTAAAGAATACGCACAAGGGAGGAAATGGGAAGTGGCTGTTTCTACAGGTGATTGTCTTATACAGGTGGCTGTCGGAGCTGGGAGAACGAGAACAAACCGCTACCTCAGAATTACAAAGTTTTAGCTGCCCAATACCTACTTTTGAGAAATTTGACGTAAAATATTTTGAGTTTCACATCATGTCAAGCTTTTTCGAAAGCAGTTCTTTGAATATCTTGATAACGATTCCGAATGATCTTACGATCTCGAGAGAGCAAATAGAACATACAATTTTTTTTATTTTTTTTATTTCACTCTCTCAGTAACTCAAAACCACCAAAAATGTCAGATAGAACTTTGCAATTCTGAGGTAGCGAAATATTTTGGAGCTCATTTGATTTTGAACTGTCTGAAGGACTTTATTTGAAACATATCGAACCAAAATAGTGGACATAAAAAATTGCTAAACTTTACATACATACATACATACATAGGCCCTACATACATACATACATACATACATACACACACACACACACACACACACA